ACACAAAAATTAACTCAAAATGGATTAAAGACTTGAATGTAAGACCTGAAACTATAAAACTCTTAGAAGAAAATATTGGCGGTAAGCTCCTTGACACTGGTCTTGATGATTTTTGGATCTGACTCCAAAATCAAAGGCAACAAAAGCAACAATAAGTGAAACTACATCAAACTAAAAAGCTGAACAGCAGGTGCCTGGGTGGCTTAGTCAGGCATCTGCCTCGTGATTTTGGCTTGGGTCATGATCTCAGGATCGTGAGATGGAGCCCTGTGTTAGGCTCCACGCTCAGCAAGGAGTCTGCTTGACATTCTCTCCCTTTCCCTCTGCCCCTCCTCCTGCTCATGCACATGTGGGTGCTCTCTAAGATTAAAAACAAAACAAAAAACACTTTTTAAAAAAGCTGGACACAAAACCAACAAATGAAAAGGGAACCTATTGAATGAGGGAAATCTTAGCAAATAATTTATCTGACAATGGGTGAATAGCCAAAATATATGAAGAATTCATACAACTCAAAAGCAAAGGAAAAATAAAAGGAAAAAGAAAAACAAAATCTCTGATTTAAAAGTGGGCATTCGGTTAAGCGTTTGACTCTTTGCTTTCAGCACAGGTCATGATCTCAGGGTTGTGGAATCAAGCCCTCTGTTGGGCTCCACATTGAGCTGGGGGCCTGCTTGAGATTCTTTCTTGCCCTCTCCCTCTGATTCTCCCTCCCATTCACACTCTCTCTATTCAAAAAAAAAAAAAGGGGGGGGGAGAGGGCCCTAATAGACCTAATAGAAGAAGAATGAGGCAGGAATAAGGCAGCTTCAAGAGAAGAGGGAGCAGGGGACGACAGCTGGAAGGACTGTCACCCCAACTCCTCAATTCCTTATTTGTTAGATACAAGATAGCAACAAAGGAGAAGAAAAGAAAGTTATACAATAGCTATATGTCTAGTAGGTAAACAAGAAGGAATGTGAGTCATATGGTGAACCAGGTAAACAAGAAGAGTAAGGTGTGTCTGTCCAGCTGCAGGGATTTGTAGTGTTGGAAGCGCACTTAAAGGGATTACCTTAACCCGAGGCTTTCTCTGGGGCAGGGGAGACCATGAAAAAGGGAAGCAGGGCGGCATTCCACCCTGAGCAGGCCGGGCATCCCCAGCTGCTCAGCTTCAGGGACGTGTATCATCCCTTCCACCAGAGGCCTGCTGCTAGTACATGTTTTTCTCAAGGTCATCTTTAAGGAAGCTTGCATGACCAGTTCAACTCATTTAAAGTTTTATATATATATATATATATATATGAAATATATTAAAAAATTGCTACATATATAAGTAGGTATATGTATATATACATATATGTCGGGATCCCGAGATCATTTATATATATATATACACACATATATATATGTATATATACATATATAATTTATTTGAGAGAGAGAGTATGAGAGGAGAGAGGTCAGTGGGAGAAACAGACTCCCTGGCGAGCAAAGAACCTGATGTGGGACTCGATCCCAGGACCCCGAGATCAAGACCCGAGCCGAAGGCAGAGGCTCAACCTACTGACCCACCCAGGCGCCCTTTAAAAAAAAATCTTTTTAAAAAAAATAAATGAAAACAGCAAAACAGTCCCAATGTGGGATTCGATCCCGGGACTCTGGATCATGACCAGAGCCGAAGGCAGTCGCTTAACCAACTGAGCGACCCAGGCGCCCTAAAGTTATATTTTGAGCAGTATATTATTCTGAGGGATATATATATATATATATATATATATATATATATATATATATATATATTGCATACTATTCAGTCATAAAAAGAATGAAATCTTGCCATTTGCAACAACATGGATGGAGCCTGAGAGGGCAGTATGCTAAGTGAAATAAGTTGGACAGAGGAGGACAAATGCTGTATGATCTCACTCGTATGTATAATCTAAAAGACAAACAGGCACCTGGCTGGCTTAGTTGGTAGAGCATATGACTTGATCTCGGGGTTCTATATTTGAGCCCCACATTGGGTGCAGAGAGATTACTTTTTAAAAAAGTAAAGTATTTAAAAGTATTTAAAGATTACTTAAAAAAAAAAAAGCCTGGGTGGCTCAGTGGGTTGAACCTCTGCCTTCGGCTCGGGTCATGATCTCAGGGTGCTGGGATCGAGTCCCACATTGGACTCTGCTCAGCAGAGAGTCTGCTTCCCCCCTCTCTGCCTGCCTCTCTGCCTACTTGTGATTTCTCCCTCTGTGTGTCAAATAAATAAAAATCTTTTAAAAAATAAAATAAAAATGTTTTTTTTTTTAAATAGGGGCATCTGAGTGGCTCAGTCGGTTAAGGGTTTGCCTTTGGCCCAGGTCATGATCCCAGGGTCCTGGGATTGAGCCCCATAACAGGCTCCCCACTCAGCAGGGAGTCTGCTTCTCCCTCTGCCCCTTCCCCAGCTCATGCTCCCTTTCTCCCAAATAAATAAATATAATCTTTTTAAAAGGGGCGCCTGGGGTGGCTCAGGCGTTAAGTGTCTGCCTTCAGCTCAGGTCATGATCCCAGAGTCCCGCTTGGCAGAAAGCCTGCTTTTCCCTCTCCCACTACCCCCTGCTTGTGTTCCCACTCTTGCTTTTGTCTCTCTCTGTCAAATAAATAAAATCTTTCTTTAAAAAAAGATTTTATTTATTTATTTGACAGAGAGAGAGATCACAAGTAGGCAGAGAGGCAGGCAGAGAGAGAGAAGCAGGTTCCCCGCTGAGCAGGGAGCCCGACGTGGGACTCGATCCCAGGACCCCGAGATCATGACCCAAACCGAAGGCAGAGGCTCAACCCACTGAGCCACCCAGGCGCCCCTAAAACAAAAAACAAAACAAAACAAAAAGAATCTTTTAAAAAAATAAATAAAAACATCAAAACACCAAGCTCAAGCTCATCGATACAGACAACAGATTGGTGGTTGCCAGGGTGTGGCAAATAGGTGAAAGGGATCAAAACAAGAGTTACAAAATAAATAAGGCAGTCTCCCTTGGGGAGTGTAAAGCCAAGTGAGAATAAACACTAAGTTCCTAGAACACTAACTTTTCTAAGTTTACTTTTTTCTTTTTTAAGATTTTATTTTTAAGTAATCTCTGCACCCACCCAGGGGCTTGAATTTACAACCCTGAAAGTAAGAGTTGCATATTCCCCCGTAGGTTACATATCTTGAACTCTTACATGCGAGGTGCCACTCGGAGTACTTCACAATTTAACGTCACAATTCTGTTGGATAGGTACTACTATCCCCATTCCTCTGCGAAAGAAATGAAGATATAAAGAAATTAAACACCTGGCCAGTAAGTGGCAGAACATGTTCAATCACATAACAAGTAACTGAGCATTAATGATGGGAGATCCAGGAGGGACATAAATGAGGGCATGCACAGTCTTGCTACAAAGTTCCCAGAGATTTTGTGACATCATGTGGGTTCTGGTCACGTTTTCTTTGGCCCCTGGTGAAGTCCCCATCAGTTTAACAGGCAGCATAGCCATGAGAAAAACATGTCTTCGGAGTCCACAGGGAGCTGGGTTTAAATCCCCGGATTCCCACTTAACTGGTGAATTTGACCAAGTCTCAGCCCCGTTTGACTAATAGGACTCAGAACCGGCTACAGCGTTGTCATGAGAATTCAATACAAAGTTGAGCCATATGGGGGCGCCTGGGTGGCTCAGTCCATTAAGAGGTGGAATCTTGATTTTAGTTCAAGTCTTCATCTCAGCTCAGGTCTTAGTCTCGAGGTCCTGAATTCAACCCGGTAAAAGCACTCCACACTAGGCCTGGAGCTTACTTTTAAGTTGAGCCATATGAAATTGCTGTTTCTGGACGTCTAAAACAGGGGTCCGGGCGCCTGGGTGGCACAGTCCATTAGACAAAGGACTCTTGGTTTCCGCCTGGTCATGATCTCAGGGTTGTGGGATAGGTCCCACTTCTCACTTTGTGCTCAGCAGGGAGTCTGCTTGGGGTTCTCTCTCTCTCTCTCGCTCTGCTCCTCCTGCTCGTGCTCTTTCTCTAAAATAAGTAATTTGTTTTTAAAGAGTGTAATCTACCAGAATAGTTAACATTCTTCTGTGCTTCTGATTTTTCAAAAACTCCAGTGCTAAATTTTTTTTTTCCCTATCCTGCCTAAGGCATAGTCCTGCTCCACTGTTTGGGTGGCCCTGGGGACTCAAAATTGCATATTGTTGATCTACTCCGTGGAGGCCAATCAATTAGCCTGTGGCGGCCTCATGGGATTTGGCAGTTCCTACAAAGATGTGGAACTTCTTTCCAGCCAGCCACCAGCACATCCCTTGGGGGCAGGAGAAGTCAAGAGCCATGACAGCCCCGTGCCCTACCACACACAGATTCAGTGCACTTTCACCCTTCTTTCCACAGCCTATTTTGCACTTATTTTCGCTGTACAACAGGCAGTGATATTGGCTCCATTTAAAAATGTGTGAACAGAGGGTTAGAGAGAGGGGGGCACCAAGTTGTGTTGGAAATAACGTGGGTTTGATGTTAGATGGATCAGCGCCCGCAATGCCTCTAGTGTCCGACGGGCTCAAAGGCCTTGAACCTCTCCGACCTGTTTCGTTTCCTGGAGAACCGCGCTTAATTTCTCCTTCCTTCGTAACAGCTTAGGTTCAACCCAGGTTCTCCAGGGCTCGCCTGGGAGCTCGGGATGTGACGAGATGACCCCCACTCGGAGACATTGCGGAGAGCGCGTGCGCGCCAGGGGGTAAAGGGCTTCGCCCAGCGCGCGCGCAGCCACGGCCCTGCATAAATATCGATATTTTCTTTCCACTGGTCACCGAACTGGCTTCGACATGCCCAGGTTCCGGCAGACTGCAACTACCACAGCGTCTCTCAAAAGCCGGAACTGAAGGTGCCCCGCCCCCGGGAGTGCGGAACAATTGTGCCTTCCCCTCTGCAGGCGGGCCCGGAAAGCTTAGGCGGATACGGCCCGCGCTTGCGCGCCGCCATCTTTTTCAGAAAAGACCGCCTCCCTCTCTCCCTGCCCACGACTAGTAAGCCAAGAGGCGGGGTTCTGCGTCGCTGCGGGCCGTGGCCAGGGCATGGCGACCGCGAATCCCAGCGGGCCCGGGGTATGGATGTCTACCCCGGGACCGCGCCCCGCCGGGACCCTGGACTGCGCAGCGGGAGCTACGGGGCTGCCTTTCGGGCGAAGCGGCAGTGGAGTCCCCCGACTGGGGGAGCGGCTCCCAGCGGTTGTGGAGAAGAGGGGGCCGTACATGGTGACGCGTGCGCCTTCCATTCAGGCCAAGCTGCGTGAGTGCGGCCCGGTGGGGGGTGTCTCTGCCTGGGCGGGCTACCTGGTTCCCCGGGCAGGCTCTGGAGTCCCGCCGGGGCGACCCCGGAGGGGGAGCTGCAGCCCGCTCCCGTCTCCGAAAATCTGTTAAGAGAAAGCGGGCTCCCGGCGTTTTGGGAGACACGGCGGAGTGGGGAAGACCCCCCTGACCCGGGCCCTTTGAATTCCAGAGAAGCATCGGGATCTGGCCAAGGCTGTTCTTCGGAGAAAAGGCATGCTGGGGGCCTCGGCGAACCGCCCCGACTCTTCAGCGAAAAGGTCTCAGCAGGCTCTACCTCCTCTGTGCAAGCAGTTTCCAGAAAAGGCCTTGGTCCTCAGGCTGGGAGACAGTTCTCCCGTTTTAAGACCGAGCTACTGATTCACCTGACGCCAACCCGTCTTTTTCACTATTTTAAAATGGGAAGAGGAATGACCTTTTCTTTTCCTTTAAGGATGTAATGATGTCAAGAAAAGGGCTTTGGAATAACAGTTTTGTTAGTGCATAGGATCATTGTCTGGGAGCAGCACAGTGGCTGGGTTCGCTAGGAGTGAAATTAGAAAGCAGTGTGGGAACAGCCAGTGCCGTATTTCTTTTTCAACAGAGTGGTAAAGTCTGAGGGCTGAGCGGGACCTTTTCCAGAGCCTCTTATAGGTAAGAGCTCAAACTCGAGAAGAGATTTGCCCCCAGAACTTGCAGTTTTTCTGTTCTGTGTTAAACTAAGCTGAAGTGGGGGAGTTTTTCTTCTACTGGAAAGAATAGGTGTGCTTTTCCTCAGGAGCAATAGGGGGAGTGGTGTGGGGAAGTGTGTATTCCCAGCGGCTGCTGCCGATACAGGGCAGGCCGCAGTGGCTGTGTGACAGGAAGGCCAGACAGGCGTACTACAGTCAGTCCTTTTTCCATAAGGGCAAGGACTCTGGCTTTCTCTGTGAACTATTGCTTCATCTATGCTTGGTCTCTTCCCTGTCTACCCTCAGGTCAGTGAAGTTTAACAAGGGCTATACGGCCCTTAGTCAGAGTCCAGATGAAAACCTGGTGTCCCTCGACTCTGACAGGTGAGTGGTCTCCTTGAAAATAGCCCTTGGGGAGTGACGGGTAAAGCTGCAGATCTCGCCCAAGACCCTTCATGCATGTTCCAGAGCAGTCTTCTTCAGGGCCTTATCCCTTCCCAGGATAGCTGGGTTAGAGGGCTCAGGTGCTCATGCTGCCCTTCGATTTGGAGCACTAACCTTGTGTGGGGGAATCATCCTCCCCTCTTACAGCTTCATTGTTTGTGACAGTGACCCCATCCCTGCTGGAGCCAATGGAAAGAGCCAGTGGTATTCAGGACGGATTCTGGGCTTGAGTTCTGTGATGGTCTTTCACAAGTCGTCCGGATCCCCTTGCATGCTCTCCACCTCGCCATTTGCAGCTGAGCTCCACAGGCATCCCCCTGAACTGACTGTTTTCCTCTTCTCCTAGTGATGGGGAGCTGGAATCCAGATACTCCTCCGGGTATTCCTCTGCAGAGGCAAGTCCAGAGCGCCTTTCTGCACGGGGCCAGGCTGCAGGCAGCGTCACCGCCACTGCCAAATGCTTGTCTTGTGCCTGCTGTGTGCACGGCACTGTGCCAGACTTCCGGTCTGTTCTCCAATCTTCTGTTCTGCCTTACTCCCCCAGCAGAGGTATAGGTGTCTGAGGAAAGCTGTTGAAAATCCAAGAGACCATAGATCTTTAGGGCTCAGAGGACCTCACAAGTCTTCTAGCCCAGGCAACCACTTAGAAAAGGAATCCTCATGAGAAATCCCACCTAAGTGTTTACCAGACTCTGCTTGCTTGAATGCTTCTTGTAACTGAGTACTTACTCTCTCCAGGAAACCTTGCTGCCTGCTTTCCCTCCAACACACATACACAAACACATACAAATTCCTTCTTCAGGTAGCTCTTAGAGAATTCTTCCTTATTAATTTGAAGTGTCTCCTGGAGGATGGAGTCAGGGGTCCTAAGCCTGCCCTCCAGTGTCACCCAGTAATTCCAGTGTCCCTTCCTTTGATTGCCTTTTATCTGTGATCAACATTCCTGTCCCTCCCATGGCCATCCTCCACCAAGCTTTTCTTCAGGCCAAACAACTTGTGTTCCTTCAGTTGTTCCCTCAATGGGAATTCAGACTGAGATACCAGTGGGCTGGCCTTTTGCACACATTTCCAGAGTGACGGTCCCAGAGACACAGGGATGGAAAGATGTGGCATGTGCAGCTGACTGCCTTAGATAGAGGCAGAGTGCTAGAGACACGACTGAACGCCACTGGTGTTTTCCTTGTTCTGGAAACCCTTGGCCACCCCTCGAGCTTTTGCCAAAGAGAATAGAAGCAGTTTGTAAATTTCATCCTCCTTGAATATCTGGGTGTCTAAGACTAGACTAAGAAAAATTAGCTAAGAGCCAGAGAAAGTTCTACACTATTCCCGATCTCCATTTCCTTTTGCCCAATGGAACTGGTGAAGCAAGGCTGACAGGTTCCACTTTGCAGAGAACAAAGCTTTGCTGGCATAAAGGCTAACGTGTTTAACCAGCAGTGGGGACAAAGCTGCTCCCCACCCTTATCCTGTGTAACTCCTCTTCTCCCCCATTGTTCTGCTATCACTGTCCCATATTCCTCAGTGTTCACAGGGACCAGTCGTTCTGAATGGTCAGGCTGTTGACTCAAACATAATCTGGAATCTGATATTTCCATCAGATGCCTTAGGATTCTTCAGTGAGAACAGCTCCCCTGGGGGTTAACAACACGGCAGCCAGGGCGGTGCTGGCTCAGGCTGCTTGGGGCCCCTCGGTGCTGGGTTGGGACACTTCCTCATGTAGTCCGGCAATACATGGAGTTGGCCTGAGGGTGGAGATTGGACAGGAAACTCTGGTAAGGGCATGTAGGTGTGCCTTTCAGGCAGCAGTCATTTCTGCTTTGCCATGTGGCTTATAGTTCTCTCCTCTTCTGTTCTTAGCAGGTGAACCAGGATGTGAGCCGGCAGCTGCTCCAGGATGGGTATCACCTGGATGAGATTCCAGATGATGAGGACTTGGACCTCATTCCTCCCAAGCCTATGGCCTCTTCAACATGCTCCTGCTGCTGGTGCTGTCCTGGGGACTCTCCTTCCTGTACCCTCCAGTAGACATAACCCCCTAAGATGGGCCCTGCTCACCATGTCCTGTAGAGCCCTGTGGGCCCTTCTTAGGTCACGGAGTGCAGTGGGGAGTGCGGTCATCCCCAGAATCATTGGAGGCACTGACCCTCTTGGAAGGTCAGTGACATGCAGTTAACGCCTTACGTGGTGCTTCTCAGGCCAGAGGCCCCCGTCTGGACCATAGGGTGATAGGTGGAATTCTGCAGTTTTCCTCTGCTGTTAGAGTTTGGAAAAACCACTTTAATAACGGCAGGAACAGAGGAATTCTGATTTCTTGTGGTGACAAAGTTGGCTAAGGAAATCTTTTAGATATCTGGTGTTTGTCCTGCTCTGTGGAGAGAGAGCTTTTGTGCCCTGGCTATGTTGGATGGTGGTGTATGGAAGCAGAAAATAGCACTTTATGGCTTGCAGCTGGGAGCCTTTGAAAAAAATAGCTGAACTATTTGGGACCAGTTTAAGAAATTCCACAATGCTCTGTCTTCCTGGCTCCACTATGAGACCCTCAAGAAAGCATAAAGCAAGGCCCTTTGGCCTTCTTCCCCTTGCATCTGTTTGGCTCTGGCAGGGAACACAGCACGCTGCTTGATGGCACAGCAGGATCAAGGCTTCCAGAATCCCTGGACCCGGACCATCCTCAGCTGGCTTAAACTGTCTGGGCGGGTTTAATGACTGGTCAGCCCACCCCCTAGTTGGAGAAAAATTGCTCCACTATGTACATATTTATTTATTTTGTCTTTCTCTGGTCACCATTCTTTGCCTTGGTCTTAGCTTGTTCAACATCCAGTCTTTTGAGTGTCAAGGTTGGGTGAAAGGACTGGAGCTCGCTGGGAAGCCTGCAGGTGTGGGTGACCAGCAGAGGGAGTGGCAGGGATCGGTCAGGTGCCTTCCTATTTAGCTTCTGAAACTTGAGAATAGCAGTGGGTGAGAAGTGTACTGGCTGGGCTGTGTGGGGCTTTGAGGTGGGCAGAGGCTCGCAGGATGGCAGGGGGAGGGACGAGTGCTGGCTCCCAGGGCCCCTGCCTGAGGAGATCATTGGCCATTGCAGAGGGCTTCCCCTTAGATACGGAGGATTGGGCTTTACAAGTAAACCTCTGGGGCACCCCAGCCTCAGCCCTGTGTGAACACAGCTGAGACAGGCATAATCTCCCCCAGTGACCACACCTCCACCCCAGATGGTATCTCTTGCTCTACCAGTCTTTTCTAGACTTGTTTTCAGGGGTTCTTTTTTGGGGGTGGGGGAGGCACAGCTCATCTAGAGCTGTGGTGAGAACTGAAGGTGAGTGGACACGGCTCCCAGCCTAAGGGGCATGGTAGTCAGGATTGGGGTGTGGGCGCCACAAGGGAAGTGCCTGATCTGGTGATTTATTCAGTGTTCTGCGGCATCTAGAGAAATGAGGGCTGACACGGACTCTTGTTCTACCACCATGAGGTGATTGGAAGTCTGAGGTCAGATGATGAGGGTAACCTGTCAGTGCTTGATTGGCCTCTATCTTGGTGCTTCTGTCAAATCATAGAAAGTTGAGAAGAATACATGGTACCCAGAGGGCTGTGGTTAGCATTTTCTCATCTAGTAGCATCACAGCAGGTGGGAGATGGGATGGAGGCCTCCTCAGGCACCCCAGGGTCAGGGGAATTGGGGACGCAGATGGTTTCGGGACTGGGACTCTGCAGTGCCACACTGCAGGTGCCTCATGTGCTGAGCCCTTGGCACTCATGCCTGCAGGCATCTGAAGACAGGAGGAGCCAAGGGCTCCTCCACAGAGACTATCTTCAGGCTGTCATGGTTTCTGCAGAGGTGCCAGAGTGCACATGAAGAGAGGGCACAGATGCAGGGCAGTGTGGAGAGACAGTGGTGGTGGCAGGAAGCCCAGTGGGGCCATGTTTGTGTGGGGAAGCTGGTTAGGACAGAATTAGTTAGCAGCAGCTGTGGGTGAGAGTGGCAGCAAGACCCCAAGACCAAGGCCCTCCAGATGGTTGTTACTTTAAGTCAACACGGATGTATTTGAATCTGTTCCTGGATGACGTTCCAGAACTGGTTGACTCCATGTGGAAAACATTATCTTTGTGGGGAAAGTTGCAGAACAGGGGGATAGGAAGGGTAGAAATGGTCTGTTGTTTGGGGCCAGAGGTCCCAGGCTAAAATGTCACCAGTAAAGGCACCAAGGTGCCTACAGCCAAACTGCCTTAATTCAGAGAGCTGGGTAATCTGCAGGTCACAGTGTCCGGCGGGGAGAGGGGTGTACTCGCACTTAACCTCACAGAGGAATATGTGTATGGTGTTTACAGAGTACTCTACAAAACTCTTGGCTTACTTAGGCTTCTACAGCTCTGGAAGTTTTTAAGAATAAATACAATCATGCTAGTTGAGCTGTGTCTGTGTTCCATAGGATTTTAAAGCAAGGCCTAAACTACAGCCCTCTGAATTGTGAAAGGACCCTCACAGCCTCAGTTGTGGCCATTCCTCCTAGGACGGCCCTCTCCCTGCTGTTCCCAGTGGGCACCATTGTCAGGCCGGCACCATTGGAGGGAGCAGGATTTTGCACAGCACTTCTCTCCAGATGGTGTTCCTTTTGGCAGACCCTTCCTTTTTCAGGTCATCTTTTGTTTTTAGCTGAAGAAAATCTGGAGGCCAGAAAAAACCCCAAAACATATTGGCCAGAACTTTTCTGAAGGTAGTTGGCTAGATTTCCCTGGTGCAGGGGGTCTAGTATGGGCAGCCACCCAGAAGGATCCTTTTGTGCCAGTGTGAACCCTTACTCTGCAGGAAGGCCTGAACAGCCTGGGGCTCTGCTTAGTCTGGGGTGACAGGACCTCAGACAGCTGCGCCACCTCCTGAAGAGGTGTATCCACGTCTAGAGGGTAAGCACGGGGAGATGATGTTCTATGCACTTCCCTCCAGGTTAGAAAAACTAGCTAGGTTTCTCTTCACAACACAAATGGGATCACCCTGTCCCTGAATCCCCAGTGTACAGTGACTGAGCATGTTCTAAAGAAGTGACTGACAAACTTTCTCTGTGAAGGGCCAGTCACTACTTTGGCTACGCAGGCATACAGTCTGTGCGGGTTCCATTTTGCTACTGTAGCCTGAAAGCGCTGGGCCAAATGTAAGGGACAGGTGTGGTCTGATCCAGCCTGCTGGCCTTGGTGGGCTGATCCCTGCCCTGAGGCCAAGTGAAAACAAGGAATCTCGCGCTACCTGTCTTTAGATTCACCTTCCATGTCTGCAGGACCCGAGGTCATCTGCAAGCTCTGCCACTAAGGCTGAAGTGGGCTGCCCCTCCCATATGTTGCTATTAAAGGGCTCCATACATACTCACCTTGGGAGCTGTTGGAAGCAGGAATTAAAGCAAAAACTGGACGTCCAATCCAGGAAAGGCTCGATCAGCCCACTTCAAGGACTGGAACGCTGAAGGCTGGCTGCTCTTACAGCCTCAACACAAGTGATCTTTTAATTGCTTTGACAGAGCCAGAGGGTGACAATGAGTAGTAGTAGTCCGCAGGCCTACTCTTTCCCCTCCTTTGCAGCTGAGGAAATGGGCAGTCCCAGGGCCAGAACCCTGTTCTTAGAAATTACCTACCCTCTTGCTGTGAGTGATGCTGAACAAATTACAGATTTTTACCAGCTGCCTAATGCTGTGGGCTGGAACAGAGCTGCTGCCTCCTGCCTTGAGGAGAGCCTGGCTCGGGTACGGTGAGAATACAAGCGGAGTTTCAGGTCTTCGTCCTCACCAGGGCCCTCCTCCCAGTAGAAGAATGGTTTATCCAAGGCTTGCTCTGGAGTTACTACCTTCAACCTCACTACTCTAACCCCGCTCTTCCAGGGCATACCCAAGTCCAGGGCAGGGACGGGGTTGGAGCTGGGCCTGAGGAGAGGCCGGCCAGGACTTAGGGTAACTGTCAGAGGAGAGCCAGGAAGGCTGTGGCCTCTACAGCAGGCAGCAGGCACGGAACATCAGTAGGTCATCGGGCACAGTGAGCTTCAGTGAGACGCTCTCATTGGCCCCAATGAAAAGCACCCCACCGCGCTGCAAAGGGATTGGCGTCTGGGCTGTAGGACTGCTGGCTGTCACTCTCCCCTGGACCACCAGTAGGATGCTGGCAGAGTCCACTGCCAAGATTTTGTATTCAGTGATGGAGCTGGGGACCTGGGCAGGAAGAAACAACAGGATGGTGCAGCTTGTTTTCTGTGCCTGTCAGCTTCCAGGGGGAGGCCCAGGACAGTCTCAGGGGCAGCGAGAGGGAGAGCGTGGCCACCTTCTCCCCCACTGTTCAGGCTCTTGTCAGCATGGAGGCCCATGTCTGGTCCCTGGTACAAGGAGGACTGGGCAGGCCCTGTGGCTGTGGCTGTCATGTGTGGCACCCCCCCCCCCCCCGCCGACACCCAACATCCAAGTGTGCTTAAAAGAAAGGGAACACTGCCCCAGGTGTACTCTGCACTGTGGTCCTTGCCAGGCTTTTTCATGCCATACGAAAGATACTCACCATAGCCACCACCACCCTCTACTCACCTCAATTTTCATGACAGTGAAGTCTGGCACAGGAGGGTCATAGATAGAGAGGTAGGGGTCTTCCTGACTCCGAGTTGGAAGAAAGAGCCTGTCCTTGCTGGGGATATAGCTGAGCATCTCACATAGGGTTGGCACATCAATGAACTTGGGTGTCAAGCCAGCACGAACCGTGTTGTCTGAACACGCCATGCACTCCACACAGTCTGGGGACAGATAGTTGTCATGTGCTAACTTGATGAAGGATGTCTTGGAGTTTGGCTCACCAGGGCTGGGCCTCCTAACCTGAGGGCCATGAACCCCCTGCAGAGTTATGCAAAAATGTGTGAACTGCACCATCAGGAGAATGGGCTAAGATACGGAAAACAGGTGGTAAGTCACGTCATGTTAGCCCCTGGGGGAGCCCCAACCTTCCCCAGACTATTCTACCACGGAATCCTATCCGTGAGTAGATAAATAGCCAATAGTCAAAATGTGACACCTTTCTGTGGAAATGTATTTTCTCACAAAAATTTCTGGATAGATAGGACAGACAGGCTGAAATGATGCAGGGGAGAGAACAACAGCCTCGATCCAATGTAGCCTGGGTTCAGATTGTTCCCACACATGCAGACGGGGTAGCAGGAGAGTATCGTGACCTCACGGGTCTGTGTGAAGATTCAAGCAGTGTCCAGCACTAAGCTGGCATTCTTCATCCCTACTGGCCACTACCCAGCCCATCCCAGGAAGCCTAGGTCAGATCTGGTGGGACCTTAAAGGTCTCTCTTTGACCTCCCCCTCCCCCTTTTATCTAAATGAGGAAGC